ATATTTTATAACGTGCACGTATATATAATATAACTGCAATAGAAATATATGTGAATATCCAAAAATACAATTTAGAAATGATCAATTGTTGTTATATCAAATATCAAATTGAATTATGTTTTAAAAGATTTCAACATTTTCTTACACCCAATATACACTTGTACAATTTCTACACCCAATTTTAAAAGAATATTAATTAAGAAATACGAACAAAAAATTAAAATACTAATATACTAAAATATGTTCAGACTGTTATTAAAAAAACAGGTGATTTTTTAATAGAAAAATATTCATTTATCGATAACAAAATATATACAAAATGTAAAATATTTTAATTGTAATTTCTTTTGACGAATAAGGTCTGACTCGATTTTGATTTAAAAACATTTATTTTTATTTTTTCTTTGAATTTACGTAAGGATTCCAAACTTTTATTCGGTAATGTATGAATTTATACGTATGTGTTTGTGTGTATTCGTATAAGCATGTCAGTATTTTTTTTATCTACGTGGATGTGTGTGTATGGTATACTTCCATTAGATATATATTTGAATTTATGTGAATTATGTGTTTGTGTAGGTAATACAGTACACTAAGTTTTATCTTTCGTGTTTTCGATCTGCTAGAAACTATCCACACACGAAAGCATAGCGGAAGAAGGAAAGATAGATAAGAACGAAGGAAGGAAGGAAGGAAGGAAGGAAGGAAGGATAAAAAGATAATACTTGGACCTATCTCTTGAAAGACGAATAGTACATGTGTATTCTCTTTCTTTCTCACACACACAAACACGCACAGGTAATTTTTCTTTTGTTATGCTTGACAATGACTAGTAGAAAAAAGTTTTTTTTTCCACCATATTTTTTGATACAGAAATGTATAATACAAATATTAACGTTAATGATAACGATGAATATTTAAATTTGTCAACTTTTAACAAAATTATTGCAAAATAATTGTTAATATATTCGAGTTATCGATATTACACAAGTATAATATAATTTTGCATTATTGTTAGCTTTATTTTTTACGAGGACACTTTTTATATAAGAATCTTAAAAAAATGTTCTTTTCTATATGAGACAAAAATTAATTTTAAATAATAATCACAAAATTATATCGACATGACAATAAATTATGGTAAAAAAAAATGTACTTCTTTTATTATAATAAATTTTGATTTATATTAATAATTCATGCACTCTTTTGAAATTGAATTATTCTAAATTTAATTGGACGAAAAAATAAGAAAAAATGGGTTGCTATGAGAGATGTAGGAATTTTTACAATTAAATTCGAAATCCTTTCTCGTTTCTCTAGATATTCGAACACCATCACAAAAAAAAAAAACAAGAAATATCAAGAATACACACTTACATCGGAACAAACCTAAACGTAAGACGTTAAAACGGTTCTCTCTCTCTCTCTCTTCTCCTTTCACTTCTATCACGAAACAGGCAGGTAGATCGGTCTAATTGTCACGGTCGCGTCATTCTTTCTAAACAATAAGAAAGGAGTATGTCTAGCTTTGAAAGGGAAAAACAAAGAAATATGTTAGATACAGGTCGGGAAGAAATTCTGAGAAATCGTGGCCTTACATTTCGAAATTAAAACTCGCAACTAACATACAAAAAAATGAATAGAAAATAAGAAACAAAAATATTAAGAATTATTAATAGGTACAATTAATAATTAGTATCATTATTTATGACGATGATGATGAAAAAAAAAAAAACATTTTAATCATTGTTCAGTCATGATAATAGAATTCCAAAAAAAAAAGATGGATCTTTGAATTTGGTTTCTTTGTTCGTTTCTAACTTTCACAATAATTCTATCGTTAACTAGACAAAGAAAAATTTCTATTATTATTATTTTAAATTATAAATATATATATATATATATATATATATAAAGAGAGAGATAATAACTATAATCAATTTCAGCCATTGTTCATAATAAAAGAATTTTAGAAAACAATTGATGGACAGAGATATAAATCTTTGATTTATTTATATATTTATTTATTTATTTATTTATCCTCATCTCGCGCGTTCGTTTCTAACTTTCACTATAATTTCCTAAGATCCATTCACGTGCGGGTTTTACTTTGTAAGATCATTTTCGAGAAAGAAATCGATCTTCTACATAGAAAGAAATGGGCATATAATAAAGAGAAAGAGAAAGAGACGATTTCCCTTCGCAATTAATTGGACTGGTTGAAAATGTTCGACGAAAGAGAAAAGGCTTTATCTAAACTTGTCCAAGTGATCACAAGATCGTTGCACTTTTCCATATACTCTCGCGAGTATGTATTAGTATATATATTTTACGTTGAGAATGTAGAAGGCCGTATTAGTAAAAGAGAACGCGAGAAACGGCAAAAGGATTTCTGGTGTGTTGCACCTGCACCGAGCTTTTGCTACGATAAACGTACGGATGGGTTGTTGTTACCGGGTGACCGACAATACTACGATTTCTGGCTTAAAAACAAAATTATACGCTCCGCAATTACCTTTTCTCATCGTCTAGACGAGAATTAATATCTTTTTCCAAGAATTTATCTAACTAAATATTAGTAACACACATAATAATTGTATATGTTGATAGAGTAATACTACTTTTAATTATTAATGATTACAAATATAATAATAAAGTGTGTGATGTTCTATATGTTTTGTTTTTTAATATACTGTACGAGGGTGGGTTGAAAAAAAAAACAAACTTTTTTTTTAAAGCTTTGTTTGTAGCATGTTATCATATTTTAATATTTATATACGTGTGTTGTATTACTATATTAAATATTTAATTACCATTGGCAAAGGATATTATAATAAAACGATACTATTTTTATACTGTGTTTGTAATGTACTGTATTGTAATATATATTATGTGTTTAAATATTATAATATTTTTATATATGAAATATTTTTTCTAAAACACGAGATATTTTTTGTATTTTTTTTAAATCGAAGAAAATAATATATACTATGTGTATAATATTAAATACTTCTCCAAGTAAATTTAATAAATTGAAAGATTGTAGAATATTATTTGTAGAATAATTCGCGAATAATTTTAGAAAGTTTCTTTAAAACTATGAAGAATTTATTATTGCTAGACACAAAATCGAACAAAGCGGAGAAGTTCGCGCTGTAAAGTTGAACGACGCATCACGTGACCACCGTCTCCTCGTCCCGCGAAAAATAAACGTAAAGCACTTTGCCGAACGAGTTCAAGTGTCTTGAAGCGCCAAGAAAGCTGCTATTTCCTTTCGAGTTTTATAAAGAACTCTTTAAAACGAGATGTATATACCTAAGTGCGACGTTCGTGATTTTCAAAGATTTACGTCGTATCAATTTTTATTATAATTAATATTCGAATCTTGTGATTTAATTAAATAAAACTAAAACAAATTTTGAATTTTGTTATGATTACCTACTAAAAAAAAGAATTTTAATTTTAATTTATTAAATTAGTGTTTTTGCTAATTAAAAGTAAATATTTTTGTAAAATAAATCGCATGAATGTATAAATATTTATATTTCAGTATAAATAAATTAAGTTTCAGTATATGAATATATCGATAGAATTATGTTAATATTTTGAAATATTAATATAAAAATATTAAAAATATTTTTTGGGGCCAATGAGTAAATATGCAATCCAAAAAATAAACCTACTTAGAAAGATATGACTTTTATTCTATTTCTATTGAAATAATTCGAATAATATATGAAATAATTTATTGTAATCCTTATATTCTATGAATTTTTAGCATTAGTTCCGCGTCGATGAATGTTCGATAGCGATCGTTGAAAGTTGCCAGAAGCGAATGAGAAAATTCTCGATCAAGAAAGATGAAGGATCGACTGTTGTTATGAAATTTAGTTGAGAATAAACGTATCTAAAATATATAATGATTATCTATATATTTGTTCTTAAAAATAAACTACGCCGAAACAATACAAAATTCACACAATTTCGATACCATTTACAAAAGATTAATCTCTTTAACTTTATTTTGTCTTCTTTCAAATCCAATCCTGAAATTGTATCAATATTTAAACTAAATAGGACGCATTAAACAATTTCTTGAAAATTTTCGGTATCTTTAGCACTAATTTATTTATAGTAATTCCTTAACTATCGATCTATTTCAACATTATTTATGTTATATGAAATTTTCTTCAGTACGAACAATATGAACGGGAATGGGAAACAGGAACGAAAAACTAAACTTTCTATTTGACATAAACAAATCTTGACATTATAAATATTTGCAAATGTTAAAAATAAATCTGTTCGATCATATCCACTGCAATTTTTCATTCGATGTATGCATCTATGTACATATATATATATATTTAAAAAAAGAAACAAAGTTACATATCAAACAAATTACTTTGATATTACATCCGTAAGATAAACAACATTTTATCGATTCGTAAAACGTAAAATATGATTTCTTTCGATATATGCAATGAATAAAATCTATTTTTAAAATGGACATCAAACTAATCTAAAAAAAGAAAATATATTTATAATAATAATAATAATGCGAATCGATGTAGGTGAATTCGACCAGGTAAAAAGAGGTTAAACTCGATAGGTTCAAACCCGTAACTCTCAAAGAAATACTCAGATAAAATATATTGTCATTTCTGAAGTAAACGGGAAAAAGTCTAAATTACATTAACGTTCGATCTACAATCAGAAAGAATTTTCTTTCTACCTTCTTATTGTTTATTTATATTACAACTAAATAAATAATTAAATAAATCGATTTAAATGAAGGATCTATAACTGAACTAATTCGATTGTGTATCAAAGAACACTGTTGCGTCTGGAGAACGATCAAACGAAAACATATGAGAAAACGTACAAAATTAACAAAACGCACGCGTGTATTTGACAAACAAGATCTAACGACGATTCTAATCAATTAGATATTAAATTTAAAAAAAAACAAAAAATTAAATTAAATTATATTGTCATACCTTGAAATTCAGCTTGAGACCAAACAGAATCCATAAGACAGAAGAGGAGGGCGGCACTCAATTTCACCACCGTGGCGAAGTTACCCATTCTTAGTCGACATTATTCTCCAAACACGAAAAGTCACAATGCTACGGTTTAGCGCATAACCGTAATCGTCGAAATGCACATATTATGTATTAACCGGCACGAACAAACAAACGATCCATCCCCCGAGACGTTCGGTGACACACTGAAGAACGTACGCGGAAAAGCAAACGATTGCGATGTTGCCATATCTCCAGAGACAGTGAACTCTGACTAGTACACGCATGCGCGCACAAAGTTCGAATCAAAACGCGGGCGAACGCGAAGGCGCGCAAATACAGTATTTTGAAAAACATTCGTAAAAAGATTATATTTTGTTTATATTGTATTTTCTTACCACCTCCTCTCCCCCATGCCCCTCCCCACGTATATTTATTTGTATATTATATGTAAATTTGATCGAATATTAATAATACCGTTAATTATTAGGATTATGAAAGAATAATCCCGCTATAAACAGCCTTACGATTTATACCGTATTTTATTATTCTTCATATTTATATTACACAAAGATGTATACTTAATCGTATTGTTTTATCGATTTCAAATACAATTCGCCAATTCCTCTACCATTCCATATTATTAAATAGATTGAAACCGATATCTTTCTTAACGATTATTAACATTAAACCAGGTCACAAAAATGCGTATATCTAGTCGATTTGTAAAGGGAAGATGATATTTTAAGAGGAAAGGATCGAGAAGAAGAGAAAGAAGAAAAAATAGACTTTGTATTGAATCATGTTTACGGTACCGAGAGGGAAGGAATAAAAATATCTAACGTTCGTTAACGATACATAATAATTATCATAGTCTTGTTATTTTTTTTGTTTTTTCTCTCTTGTTTACCAGTACTTAGCAATCATTCATTATTAGACTACTACCAATCCTCTCTCACCACATATCACGCAGCGAAATATTATTATTTTTACTTTACAGATTTATATTTTATACAAATTACTTAGGCATTGTGATATTCAGGTTTATCTTTGCGCAATTATTATTTTGGTTTGTTCTTGCTACCATTATTATCATCGGCAATTTACAAGCCTTTTTCATCATTTATACAAATCACAAATACCATTCCCACGTCGCTTTGAAAATTTATTGAAGTTTATCATTTTTAATCTATAAACTATGCGTACAAAGAGACTTCTATGCCTTCTTTTTATTTATATATATATATATGTATATGTATATTATATATATATATATATATACATATATATATACACATATATATTTATGTAATATTAATTATAATTTTAATAAGAGGTCATTATACCTTGGCAATTGCGTCTTTGCCACGAATGAACTAAGAAATACAATATGTATACAACGTTATAGCGACTTACTACAAAAGTGAACTGTACACACGACTATCCCATATATAATTTGGTCTTCTATGTACGCAGAGTCATAAAAAAGAACATAAGTCCAAATAATAATATACAT